GTCCTAGGCAAGTTGGTTGTGAAGACCTCACCTCCAACTTGAGGGGGGGTATTGAGTATGGTTATTAGTTATTAGTAGTTATTAGTCTTCACTTGTATTTGTACATTCTTTATTATTGTGTATACTTCTTAGCTAGCAGTTTAGTTGTTTAGTTAGAAGCTGATAATTAGTTTAGTCAATGTATATATATTTTTTACAGTTGAAGGAATGAGGTGTGGGTTCACATTTACACAAAATATTTCCCGGCTTATCTCCTCTCTACTTCTTCTCTCTTCTTAGAACCTTCCAGAAGACTCCATGGGAGTTCTGCAAATTTGAGCTTGCTTGCTTAGTTTGTTAGGTTTTGTGCTCTCTATCACCTTTTGGCGGTCCTCATGAACCGTTTTTAATAAGTATTCACTTCTTTCTTTCTTCCTGTAATCTGCCATATGTTGGATTGGAGAGTAGTGTAATCATTGGCAACTGGATGCGTTTGAGACAATCAGTGGCGGATTCAGAATTTTAAAGTTATGGGCGCTCACTAATAAAAACTTCAAAAGAAGAGGAAAAATGAATTACTTGTGGGTGCTCACTCAATATTTATCTAAATATTTATAATGTTGCCTATATAAATTAATTAATTAATATGGTCAAAGTTAACGGGTGATTAAACACCTACAGCTCTCTATGTGCATCCGCCATTACTTACACATATTATACGGAGCATGCAATATATGGTGGCTGACACGCTTGCCAAGTATGGCCGCACCATGAAGTGCTCGACAAATAGTAAAGCAGAGCGTGATGGCAAGAAAAGATCCAATGTTCCCCTTGGATTCGCGTGAAGACAGGTTGAAGGGTCGCTTCGCTCACCTCCTTTTGTTATCCCAACACCGGAAATTTCATAATTCAGGATCTTTTTGTTAGACCTGTAGCTATGCCATTGGCTTCGAAATGAACTTTTGTACTAGCATGCATGAGAATAGTATGTAACATCCCCTTGAATTTTCCTTTTATAATGACTCATATCCATGGGTTTCCCCTAGCTCATAAAGCCTTACGAGTTTACACGTATTTGCAGTTTGCTATTTCTTGTATAATTACTCATTTAAGTCAATATAATGTGTGTTTTCTTGGGGATCGAAAAAGAAAATTTTCCCAAGAAACTCAAACAACAACATTAACAACCCATAAGGATTGCACAAATAGGGTCTAGGGAGGCTAATGTGTGCACAGACCTTACCCCTACTCTGGAAAACAGAAAAGCTATTTTCGAAAGACCATCGGCTCGAGAGGAAAAATAGGAACAAGTAAATAACAACACAAGGCGAGGAAAATGATATCACCAATGTAAGGACTATAGGAAAAATAAATGGAAAGAAATAACAATAGTTATAACAACAAGCAGTAACACGATGGGGTACTAGAAAATTGAATCGGAAGATAGTACTAATATAACCCTAATACTAGCATTAAACACTTGGGAGTTGTTTGGTATAATAATCGAATACATCAAGATATTTCATGGGATAAGCTATTCTACCTTTTATATAGGATAGCTGATCCTATCATCTTAGTATAAAATTCATTTCGAGGTTAGATAATACTTATAACCAAACATGAGATAAATACAATTCTAAATTCTATCATTTATACCAAATGACGCCTTATATAAGGAGCTCTAACTTCATATGCCCCATTATCATTTATTATCGTTAACCGTAATAGTGGCAAAATGGATAAAAGAAAACAGTTATCAACCCATATTATCCATTAAAAAATAAGTTGGATAATGAACTTTTTAAAAACTGGTTGAATATGGATAAAACCCAAAGTATCCATTCAGAAAATTGATAACCAATGGATAACTAATTTATTTAACTTTTATATTTGTAAAACCTCAAATTGGGGTTTCTCAAGTTTGAAAGATTAGGAATTCTCCCAAAAGTGATCATATTCAATAAGCCATGGACACATCATATACCCATATTATCCGCCTTGTTAAATCATTTTTTATTCGTATAAAATAGAAAGAATTACAACAAAATACACATGACTTCACACCATAACAAAAAATGGCCCATGTTTTTAAGTTTTACCCCACCTAGCCCATATTGTACATATTTTGAAAGCACTAGCAAATTCAAAATCTGTGTTCTTACAACCATTGCTTCTAAAAGCTATGGAGTTAAATATGTATTCTCACAACCATTGCTTTCACTCTCTCTTCTTCTGACATCTTCTACGTATGCGTCAAGGGGTCGTCCGCCATTACTGTTTCTCTCCCTGTGTCACCTGGTTGCAGTGTAAGAAAATTGAAAAGTAGAAGTTCACCATTGAAGGCCATTCAAATATTTATTTTAGAAAATAGGATTTTTTGAGTTTGTTAGTTATTTGGATTGCGTGTTGTTCCAATTTTTGATTGAAAATATCAAAAGGAGTTCAAAATTTAAATTTGAAGTGATTTGGAGTAAATTTGAGCAAGATTTGGGTTAAATTTCAGAAAAGACGCAAGGAAGAAGACGAAGTTAGTTTTTTGTATAATTATGTATAATCTTGTATAATAGTGTATATGAGTGTATAAACACATTTTATACACTATTATACACTTTTATACACCTTTATACAAGCGTCTATAGACGAACTTCTTCCACGATTTTCAATTGCAATTCTTGTTCAAAACAAGTCTAAATCTCCATTAGATGACTTCAAATTTTATATACAACCTCATTATACTATTTATTACAAGTCTAAATAACACTCACTCCAAATTTCTCACAAAATCAAATTCGGAATGTAAACCCACATATTTAAGCTTGTTAAAAATCTAATTTTCACCACTCAAATAGATTTGGTTTGTTGAACTAATATTTGAGTCATAGTTACTAATTCGAAAATTAACTTAAAAGATTGAGCAATCTTTTTTAAAAATTAAATAGTAATTTTGAGAACTTATTGGAGTTGGATGTTGAATGTTAGACTATTATTTTTGGGTTAGTTGATTGTAAATTGAAATATGAGCTATAAAGTTGAAAAGTAGGAAGCCCAATTGTTCTTATGTGAAATAATTTTGAGAAAATTTCATAAAGCGCTATCTTTTAGTGGTAATTAGCTATCTATAAATATCATTTGCTACATTACGGATTGTAGATACGTCTTCTGTTGTTATAAGATGTATTAGATGTATTTAAGCTACTGTATTCATGAATACAGTAGCAAAAATAGGCGTGAATCAGAAAAATCCAGCTAATCAGTTGTTGTATTCGGCTGTATTCATGGCGTGAAACATGGGATTACAGCTGGACAGATTATTATATTCGACTGTATTCACGGCGTGAAATAGGGGATTACACTGTTTTTAAACGGAAAGTGAATCAATTAACATAATAGAGTCCTAATATAACTCAACAAACTCAATTATAACACACAAATTTTTTATTTTCAGTTATAAAAAAGATTCTCAACCGAAAAATACCCCAAAAAACTTAGCAATCTTCAGAGAAATTATATAATACATCTGAATACATAAATTATATTAATTAAAAAAAATATGTGAATACATTCATGGCATATAGAGAGACAATGAATACAATAAAATACATAGAATACAGCGGGATACCTTGAAATACAATGAAAAAAAGATAGTGAATACAATGAAATACATGGAATATAGTGAGATACATTGAATTACAATGAAAAAAAGACAATGAATACAATGAAATACATGAAAATACAGGGTGATACATTGAAAATACATTGAAATATATTAACAGAAAATCAAGTTGCTCGGGTACCCAAACATTTGTTCAAGTGGATTTCAATGTAGTTGATTCTCAAGAAGAATATGAATTAGAGAAACTTTCAGAAACCACTATGTTTTAGTGGTTATTAGCTAGGTGTAGCTATCATTTACTATATTACTTCCTATAGCTATGTTTTCAGATTTTTTAGAGTGTATTCGATGTATTTAAGCTAATGTATCCATGAATACACTAGCATTTCTAAGCGTGAAACAGGGGATTACAGCTAGACATATTTTTGTATTCGAGTGTATTCGACTGTATTCATGGCATGAAACATGGAATTACATCTGGACAGATTATTGTATTCGACAGTATTCACGGCGTGAAACAGGGAATTACACTGTTTTTAAATGGAAAGTGAATCAATTAACATAATAGACTCCTAATATAACTCAACAAACTCAATTATAACACACAAATTTTGTATTTCAAGTTATAAAAAAGATTCTCAACCGAAAAATACCCCAAAAATATAGCAATTTTCAAAGAAATTATATAATACATCTGAATACATAAATTATATTAATTAAAAAAAAAAAGACAATGAATACAATAAAATATAGCGAGATACATTAAAATATATTAACAGAAAATTGACTTTGTTGGGCTTGAGGATAAACTAGAGGACAAAGGCTACGACACCAACGATGACCAAAAGAGTGTAGAGTATCTGGAAGATGCAAGTGCAGATGTAGTTGAAGAGACAGCCGCATCAGCAGCTGAATGGGTTGCAGCAGCACTCGCCGCCGTGGCCTGGGCGGTGGTAGGTTTTGGACGGCGGCGGAATTGATGGGTCGTAATATGCTCCGTTCAGATAGGGTTCGGCCATGGTTGACGTGAAATCAAGAAACGCAAAAAAGCAGTTGAGTTGTTGGATGGAGTTGGGCAAAATAGCGGAGTTCATCTTCAGCCTTGATCCGGCGGAGGAGAAGACATCGGAAAGTAGAGAGAGAGGGAGAATAGATATGGAGTAGGGGATAGGAGAAATTCCTCGGGATATGAGAGAGAAAATTAATATAAAACTTATTTTATGGCTTAAGGATAGGAGGTGACCATAAATAGATATATGGCTATAAAAAATCAAAAATTAGTTACGGAATATAATTTTTTAAAAGGGTATTTATTTAAAATAAATAAGGTATCAACCTTTGCTACAGGAGGTAACTAATCCAATAATTTTCCTTATAAAATATAGATCGGCTCGTATAATTTTATCTATTTTTGCATTACCAGTTTTCGAGCGTTATCATATCCGCTTCTTTCTTTAATCGACCGGAGCCCTAACTTCATATGCACTTCCGAAATTCATTTGCCCTAACCTGCGAAAACAATGTCACCCATTTCGTTGGATTTAGTAGCTGAAATCCTCTGTCGACTACCCGTTGACTGTGTCTTATGTTGCAGGTGCGTCTCAAAATCTTGGTTTGCTCTTATTGATAGTCCTGAGTTTGCAAAATTGCATCTAAAACATTCACCCAAAACCAACTCTAATTTTTGGGTTCTCCTTAGAGAGACTGAGTATTTTGGATATAAAAAGCGTTGTTTCTACTCTCTAAATATTGATTCTCTCAACTCTCGAGTTGTTACCCCCAACGAATTGACCAACCCTTTGAGGTCTAGTGATTTTGATACAAAGATAATTGGTTGTTGCAATGGGTTGCTGTTGATATCAAATACTGTGTATGAAATTGGCTTATGGAACCCATCTACTGGAAAATACAAGAAATTACCAGTACTTAGTGTTGATAGAGAAGAAGATGGATATTAGATTTGGTTTTGGATATGATGTTGTCAATAATGACTATAAGGTTGTTAGAATTGGGCAGTTTGTTGGTACTGAAAAGGGTCCTCTTTGCTCTGATGTTAAGGTTTATAGTTTGAAATCAAATTCTTGGAAAGGGGTTGATAAGGAATTTCCTTATTATGTCCGAAATAAGGAGGAACCCGGTACATATTTAAATGGTGCATTGCATTGGGTTGTTAGTAGTGAGATAAAGATACCATTGCAACAACTGATTGTTGCGTTTGATCTTGAAACTGAAACATGTCGGATTGTACCGCATCCCCCATATACTAATGAAAGGTTGAGTGTGAAGTTGGAGGTGTTAGGAGGCTGCCTTTGCACATTTCACTCCTTTTGGGATGATTTTTTTTATGACGAATGGGGGAATTTGGATCGTGGTTTGGACCATATGGACATATGGGTAATGAAGGAATATGGAGTTAAGGACTCGTGGACTAAGATTATGTCAATTGAACGGCCAGATAAGGATATTGGACGTCTTTTTGTCCCACTCGCATATTCTAACAGTGGAGAGGAAGTTCTGCTGGAACAAGATAATAAACGGTTTGTATGGACAAGTATTAAGAATGGAAACACAAAGATCGTTGATACTCAATTTGGCATATTACACGGCTTTCTACACTTCAATAGTTATGTCTATTTGGGAAGCCTGGTTCAGCTCGGTTCCAGTGATGACACAAGTTACTTGAAGAAAGAACAGTTCAGTCAAGATAAAGGAGGACAAAGGAAAACCTTAAGGAAGAGGTCAATTATTTGGTTGATTTGTTGTTATGTCGTGCCCTCTTCTTTTAGCAATTTGACTGTTATATGCATTAGTATATTGTGGATGTTTGTTTAGTTTTCTTTTCACTTCTCTTTTTCTTACACACACACACATATTTATGCAATTTAGGGAGATTTAATTATAAACTTTGTGCATTTCCTATACTCTTTTCTTTCATAGCTAAATGTCTGTTTTAACTTTTATTTATCAGAGGAGATGATTTCCTTTCAAAGGGATTCAAGCTGAAGCTTTGAGCTATATGTTTTATCTTCTGTTCTTTGCTATATAAAGAATCACTTTGGTACTAACGAACACAGAGGCTCTATGTAATGTAATTACTTCTCACTTCTCTTATGAAATTGTCTTGGTCAATTTCCGGTTAGTAGTCGTTGCTCTTGATGATGTAAGTTACTATGTTATGTGATTTTGTGTCACGCCTCAAACCTTGGAGGAGCGCGGGACACAGCACCTGGTGTCTTTAACTTGTGACCGAGTGAACCAATATTTCTTTCATTCTTAGATTTAGACCATGCATGCTTCATGACAAAAGAAAATTCTCAAAAGAATTTGGAACCATAAATTTTCGGCATAATAGCTCATAAATCTTTCGAAAACTTGGTACTTGATTAGTATTAGGCATCAACTAGTAAGCCGATGAAATGATGGGAATCAGTTATAACTTAGTACTTGATCGGTGCAGTACTCTAGTTGTTTACCAATTGTGCTTGTGGATTTGGGTCATAACTATGTCATATGTGCTCATCCACTTCCCAAAAGGAAATCGATAACTGTATAATATGGGTCCGCATTTATAAGAGTACTTGAATGAGTTTCTGTTTTGACAGGATGTGGCGTTTTAAGCATCGAAAACAGATTTGTGATTGGTATTTTCATCAGGGAATTTTTTGTGATTGGTATTTTCATCTGGGAATTTGAAACAACACAGACGCAGGAAGATGGAGAGTAGTGCATTTCCTCTTTTACTCTAACCACCGCTCTCTCTGTCTCCTCTCTCTCTTTTCTCCGAGTCTTGTAAAGTGTAGAGACTCAACTTTTGTCATCTGCATATAGTTTATGTAAAACTAAACACTGATGTAAAGACTTTTATGGAGTTTATTGCTGTTCTTTTTTTTCTTTTGGGATATGCTTATATAAATTTCTAGCCTTTTAATGTGAATTTCTTGCCTTTTTTTGGTTAGCTAAAGTATTACAAGGGGACTGAAGCTTTTAAGATGATCTTATCGTATATTTTGTCAAAAGTGAGTGGCACATGATGTCATTATTGACAAATCTGCTAGTAGTTCTCATATGTGAAAATCAATTGGTTGAATTGCTCCTTACGGATTTTTAAGTAATTAAGCTTTCATTTCATGTAAGTAATATTTGATATTAATATGTGCTTTTAAGGGATTACATTGGCTTTGTTGTTGTTGTATGTGCTTGTCAGGTTCTTCAGTTCGTATGCATTTGGAGTGATGGCATGAGCAACCCCCACTCTCACACACAAATTCACCAAAGCAAAGAGTGATATTCAATGTGAAAATCATTGTTTTAGTTTAAGAAACATCACCGCCTCAATTCCGAGCAAGTTAACATTGCCTATATAAATCCTCACAAATCATGTTACTCCATCAGAACTCCAAAAAAAAAAAATTGGGGGGAGGAGGGGAGGTGACCCAATATTGCGTCCGTGCCATGAAGCAACCACTAATGTTTGTATTAGAGTAGATATTAGAGTAGGTTGTCTACATTATACCTTTTGGGGTACGGTTCTTCCCAGACCTGTGTGAATACTGGATGCCTTATGCACCGAGGCTGTCGAAGTAATAGGAAAAGAGATTATTAGAAACAAACTCCTGAGCCAAATGCCTGCTAATATACATTACATCCTACCTCAAACTAACATATTATGAGCTCCCACTAATTGAAGTAGCCTACCTTCAATAATAACTATTTTTACATTTTATGTCAATTTCAAAACTTGAAAATGAGGTGAAACGAAAACTCACCAAAAAGAAGAAAGGAGAAAAACTGCGGCTTTAGTTTTCAGGCTAAATAAATAAGTTATTATGGTGCTAAACTATTCTCCTGTTTGTCGACAACACAACCTTGAGGAAGAACTGCCTCGCCAATTCTTGTTGGAGGCCAACAACAGAAACAACAAAGTCAAAAATCAGTTCATGCAATATGATTATAACCCAAATACCAAATGAAACAGCAAACATTGAAAGAGATCTAACCAATTGAACAAAAAATCAACAAAAGGAGACCCATAAAATAAGAAAACAAATGGAGCATAAACTGACCCAAGTATATTTATCCTCGAAGTCAAATTTCACACTTTCCAAGTTGCCATCAATAGAGAATAATGGAGAGTGCTTGGGTGTTTTTTTTTTTTGTTGAGAGTGAGAGAGTGGATGGTTGCTTTTTGTAGCTTTTGGTGGAAAGTGAAGACGATTGCAAAATCTATTATATACAAAATAAAAACTCTTAGAAGAAAGAAAATGATTTACCAAAATAGGCTCAAATCGTCCCTTGATTTATTGAAACTTTAAGGGGCAACTATAGTAATATACGACAGAGCCATGAGCAAATAATAAAGAAGTGGCTGATATTTTTGGTATAGCAAAATGATGTAAACTATTTCAAGGCGTGAAGTACAGCCTTTTAAAGCTAGAAATATTGCGTAATTACTGGTTCACCCTTGGTCGTCCAAGGGACTTTTACTTATTAAAGAGTTAGAAAAGTATCTTTTGTGAAGACCGAGCACGTGCACGTGTGGGGGAGGGGGGAGGGGGGTGGCTATTCACTTTAGACTAAGGCACCGGGCTCATTTGGTTTGAAGACAAGTTATGCTGGATTAGTTATAATGGGAGTTGAAGATTAGTTATCAAGTATTATTTTTATTGACTATTTGGTATGTCATATTAATCTTGTGATTGTCAATTTTACTGCTTTATCTTGGGATTATTAGTAACCAAACAAGGGATAAAGTAGTATTAAATTTTTATCTCAGGATTATTTTTGCTTATTTGTCATACCAAACGACCCCTTATACCGTAAGGTAAAACATCTAATACATCGGAAGATCATGGTATGTCAAGAAGTAGAAATGAAAATAAGAATTGAACTCACATTTGTATGGAAAACTTTCACCAGCACCATTACTATTCAAAATATTTTATAAAAATGGACTTTGGACCTAACCTTTAGCTTATGAGGTTAGAATTACTTAAAATCATATAAGAAAACAATAATACATTTTTTCGATCAATAACAAAGGTCGGAATGCTTTATATTTATTAATGTAAGTACTAAATGCAAAAAAAAAAAAAAAAAAAAAAAAAAAATTAGTCGGCATCTTTTTTACAAGGATTGGAGGTAAGCCTTGTAAATCAAGAATAGATTGTTCGTTTATTTTTTTTCAAAATTTCCAGCTTTTTAGAACAGATAAAGAAGATTAGAAGATAGTGAAAAAGTTATTGTGGTCCGAGATGCTGCGTTTAATTCTAGAGTTACACTTTCTTACTACCCACTCTAGAGTGTAGAGGGAAGAATCTTAATCGAAGTCTTTTCCCTTAACTTTCTAGGACAATTGGTGAGTTATGAGTATCCTTAGGAGTGGTGCCACAGTTTAAACTTTATATTTAAATTCTAAAATAACGATTAGTAATTGAGTTTTGAATGAATTTTTTAATATAAATAAAGATTTAGGACTAAAGCTAACTATTAAGTTCAGTCGAACCAGCATATAACTTTCTACTCCGCCCCGAAGTTTCCTAATAGGATGTTAGTATGATGAGTCTGATGTTCAATGTAGCCCATGGCAGAGTTACTTCAACTAAGCAACAAAAGCTATGGGTTATGAATTTGTATTTCTTTGGTCGTACTTCTAAAATCAGCTTATTGTTTTTTTTAAAAGTATTTTTCAAAGATTACTTTTGATGAGAAGCAGTATATGCGTGACTAATCAATTTAAAATGCACTTTTGAACTTTGTTTGACCAAACTTTTAAAAGTTGTTTCTAATTGTATTTTTTTCAAAAGTGCTTTTAAAAAAAATATTTTTGGGATACTTCTCAAAAACTGCTTTTGATTATACTCCAAAAAACTTTTTTCTTCTAAAACTTGGCCAAACATTAACTATGAAAAAAATACTTTTGGAAAAAGAAAAAAAAAAGAGAGAGAGAGAAGAAGACACTTTTGTCCAAAAAAAACACACAGCCAAACAGGCTAGAAGTTTGAAGCAGCATTATTGTCTCTGCTGCAGCCATAATTCTTGAAAATGTAAAGGGTCTTCAGTTCAAGACAGCATTCTTTCAGCTCATTGAGGCTGAAATATTGTATCCTAACAATCTGCTATTTTTCTTTCTCAGGGGCAAAAGATGGCTATTACATTTGTACAGTTCTAGTGTCTAATTGTCAATTTTGGCCATTTGTATTGTGCAGAGGAAAGATAACCAAATGATGAGAGAGTACAAGATAAAGGTGGAACCAAAATTTAAAATGTTCTAAATTTACCACTGAACTCATAACTCCTTTAGTCAATAGATTCGCAATTAAAAATCTACACATATTTAATGTAGTTCTTTTCAAGACAAAATAGAATTTAAGCAAAAGCTATTAGATTCGTCCGAACTGTACTTATACTCTACCTTCGCCCATGATACAAGATGCTCGACTTCGATACGAAAATTATCGCGTTTCACTGAGGTAATGATAAAACTTTTACAAAAATTTATTCGCACTAAAGGTGTCAAACAGGTTGGGCTGGCCCGCTTCCGGACCGGTCTTAACAGGTTTTAGACTGGACCGAACCGAACCGATAGTAAGGGGGCCGCGCAGGGCTGGGTTGGGACGGGAACCGGCACGTGCTGGGTAGAATTTTTGTACCGGTTAACCGGATCGGTACGACCAGTTAAGGTCAAGTCATTTGGGAACCGGTTAACCGGACAGGTTCAACAACTAGTTTAATTTTTTTTTAATAAAGTTGACCGTTGGAACGGTTAGCTGCCATTTTGACCGTTGTCCAATGGCTAATTTGCAAGAAGTTCGCAAAGTAAAGTGCAAGAACTGTGGTCGAGTCTTAAATGTTTGTCGAAAGTGGGAGGGCACAGGATGTTTAAGGAAGCATATGAAGAGTTGTCTTGAGCGTCCTCTAGAAATTCGTATTTAAGTTGATTCGAGACAATTTGTATTATTTAAAAATTATTAGACTTATTTAAGCTTAATATTTTAAATTGTTAGATTAATTTGAAATATTATTATGCAATGAAAATTTGAAATGAAAGCCTTTAAAGTTTGATTCTTACATATCAAGTTATCAACACTCCAGTATAAGATTTATATTATGAGTTATATTTTTTTCAAGTTCATTGTACAACAACAATAACAACAACAAACTCAGTTTGATCCCAACAGGTGGGATCGTAGCACCGAGTAAGCCCAGAACCGGTAAACCCGGTAAAAAATAACAGAAAACCGACCCGGTACCGTAACCGGCCTGTTCCCATTTTCCTCCACCCGACCGGCCGGCCCGGCCCTTGACACCTTTAATTTGCACCCAATGTCTATATCAATCAAACAATTCAATGTCATAATTCATTTTTCTTCCCGTGAACTATGATTTGCCATTTAACATGACTTTCATTATTGCCGTGTCTTTGAAACTATAATTATTGGCCACTTCCACTCATGCCCCTTCATCCATTTGATGTCTCTATCAAACATTTCTCTTGTCATAAACTTGATCATAACCCCCCTTTTTCACTTCTAACTTTCTTTTACCCTTCTTTCTTCCACGTTTTTTCTACCACTTCTTTTCCGTGTTCAACATTATAATATATAGTCGTTACCATTTTAATACTAACAAATTAAAAATATTGGGAGGCAGAGGCGGAACGAGCTGCGGGTTCAACTGAACCCATAATTTCAATATATATAACTTAGATATATATAAAAACATCATCAAAATCTTAATAAATATTATATTCTGAACTCATAAATTTTAATATGCAATAGACTCAGTGATAAAAATATAAAAATTAAACCCGTCAAATTAAAATTCAGAATTTGTCTCTAGATAGAGAAGGCACATAGTTAATTAAACATAACGTTTCAGAAGACACAAATGACAGTTTAGACATAAAACTCTTATAAGAAGCTATAAACT